GTGTGTTGAACCATCGAGGTTCTTCTGGGAGCATTCGTTTGCTCGTGCCCATTTGAACATGAAGTGATTCAACAAGATTTCCTGCTCGGGATGCGCCATTCAATCGTCTGTGAGTAGCAGTCGCAGTGGTAAGTGGCATTCTTTGTCACTCTGCCATCTTTGGTACCTTCAAATTTTGTGACTGGTACTTGGGCTTATGACTTCTCCCCCTTCATCACGACCCCCTCGTTGGCTTTTGCGCAGCGGGCGTTGACCTGGTCGCACGGTCGATTATGGACTTGCGGATGCTGAGTTGACAAAAAATGAAAAAGAAGCAAAAGCTGTTCATGGAGCTCTAGACAAGGATTCCACTTGAAATAAGGAAGGGGCAGGAGACGAACTTACCCACTTCACGGCTGAATTATCCCGCGCGTATTTGAATGAGCCGCTACCCCGTAATCCACACTGCGTGCTGTGGGGTGTGCGCGACGTAACTCGTCCAACGTTAAGAACAGTAGCCGTAAGTCCACTTTTTAAGACCCTAGCGTCCATTGTTGCGCACATTCAAGCCGCAACAACGGCACATCTGTGACACTCGTGGGTTACTGGAAAGATTTTTCGACATGACTCCCACTAGAACTGATGCTTCAAGCACTTGCAGACATTGTTTTTCAACAAATCAGGTGCCAGCTTAGCAGTCGCGCATCCTTCGTAAAATTGGAAGTGACGTTATGGATCCGACGCTTCCACTTATTAAAAAGCTACGCCCGGAACTGCATTTCGTCTGGCAGGCACTGTAGAATATATGGAAGCGAAAGCAGCAACACTAGCTTACTATAAAAACTAGAACAGCATGATAGAAACCTACAGCATAAGAACCTAGTGGACCTGTTCTTGAGACACCCAAAAGATCTGTGCCGTCTTCATTTCTAATATCTTCACAATGTATCAACGCGGCAGTATTTTATTACCGATAAAAATCTGGAGAGAAATCATACGCTTCGGAGATATCAATACTAATCGAGCCGGAGGTAGCAATCCATGACAGTGGTCGAACCCTCGTGTTACATATGTGGATAATTTGTCATGCCTTAGGGATAGTTACAATGAATCCCTTCTACGATACTGACTGGCACACATTCCTGATTAATAGAAGAAAAAAAAACGTACTGCACATCAAAAAGCTGGTCATATGAGTCTTCCCATCCATCGAAATGAATCTGTAGCAAGCGTCCTTTGTGAGCAGCTACCGTAGCCGGACAGACTAAATGGTTCTCGCACATATCAGAGGACTCCAGTTTAGCGCCGATCTAAAACAAATCAACGGTATCAGCGACATGATCAAGTTATGAATTAGGATTAATGTGAACCTGGAAATGATCCATATATTTCTGGTCAGGTATGGGTCGAAACAGAGATTCAGGCGCAGCAATGGCCCCAGATTGTTGTAGGTAGTCATTCCAGTCAAACTTTTCAGTATCTGAACGACACTTATCTAAACAATACAACATTTATAACGAGCATAAATGGCCAGCTGCAGTGGATTTAATTTGTAAGTGAAAACAGAAACAATCCAAA